AACTAGTGACATGGTCCTCAGACAAATAGAGAAATTAAAACCTAACAAATCCCCAGGCCCTGACAAACTGTTTGCAAGAGTTTTAAAGGAATGTAAAGAGGAACTTACAATACCTTTGGCTAATCTTTTCAATACATCACTACAAATTTGCATAGTGCCAGACAAATGGAAAAGAGGCAGGTGACAAGTCTTAAGCTTCAAACTATAGACCAATAAGTCTTACCTATCCTAGGTAGTAGATTGGTAGACAGCAACCACCCAGGGAGGTACTACCGTCCTGCCAAGTGAGTGTAAAACGAAAGCCTGTAATTGTTTTACATGATGGTAGGATTGCTGGTGTCCATTTTTCTGTCTCATGAACATGCAAGATTTCAGGTACGTCTTGCTACTTCTACTTACACTTAGGTCACACTACACATACATGTACAAGCATATATATACACACCCCTCTGGGTTTTCTTCTATTTTGTTTCTAGTTCTTGTTCTTGTTTATTTCCTCTTATCTCCATGGGGAAGTGGAACAGAATTCTTCCTCCGTAAGCCATGCGTGTTGTAAGAGGCGACTAAAATGCCGGGAGCAAGGGGCTAGTAACCCCTTCTGCTGTATATATTACTAAATGTAAAAGGAGAAACTTTTGTTTTTCCTTTTGGGCCACCCCGCCTCGGTGGGATACGGCCGGTGTGTTGAAAGAAAGAAGAAGTCTTACCTATACAGTTGGTAAATTTGTGGAATCAATAATTTCTGAAGCAATTCATAGCCTTCTTGAAAGGCATAAATTAATGAATCTCATCACGGTTTCACAAAGGGGCGTTCCTGTCTTACGAATTTACTAACTTTCTTCACTAAGGCATCTGAGGAGGTAGATCATGGTACTGAATATGACATTGTGTATATGGACTTCAGTAAGGCCTTCGATAGAGTTCCACATCAGAGGCTGTTGAGAAAACTTAAGGTAGCATAGCCTAGTCGAGAGTTCGTTCGACTATCGCTTTACACAACATCGGTTCGACTACTCGTAAAACACTTTGAGCTATTACAAGAACTTATTACGCCAAGATATTTTTTTTTGGGTGTATATACATTCCTGTTTTGAATAACGAGAAAGAGTTGTGGGCCGTTGTTTACGGAGGGTAGAATTTCGTGGCGTGTATTCTGCTTTCATATTTATCGTATTACATGTAGAGCATGCGTTAGAGACATACATTGGTTTACTCTATATAGCTGATTTTTTGCAACTGTACATTCCTTCACATATTGTGCAATTTCCCTCTTGCTAACATTGACTTCAAGCGAGCTTGGGTTGTAGGATATTAGTAGCACCTCTCCTTTATATGGCAGCGACCGTATCATATCTAGTTTATGTTGTCGTCCATGTGGCTGCTTATGGGCAGCATTTTCGTCCTTCCTGTTTGGCCTGACCTTATATCATTTCCCGAGCAAGAAAACATCAAAACTTATATCAAAATATGACCCCGCCAAATTCTCTAGCATCCAACACCCATCCACCCTTAAGGCACACGGAATAGGAGAAATTTTTTCCTGGATAGAGGCATGGCTGACAAATAGGCAGCAGAGAATTTGCAGAAATGGGGAGAAATCAGAATGAGGGCACATCACAAGCAGTGTTCCATAGGGGTCAGTGTTGGGCCCCTTGTTGTTCACAATCTACATAAACGACAAAGATGAGGGAATAAAGAGCGACATAAGCAAATTTGCTGATGACACCAAAACAGGCCATCCAATTCATTCTAATGAGGATATTAGAGCACTTCAGGATGATTTGAATAGACTGATGCAGTGGTTGGAGAAGTGGCAGATGCAGTTTAATATAGACAAAAGCAAAGTTCTAAATGTTGAACAGGAAAATAACCATGCCATGTATAAACTAAATAATTTTTTTTTTAACAAGTTGGCCGTCTCCCACCGAGGCAGGGTGACCCAAAAAGAAAGAAAATTCCCAAAAAGAAAATACTTTCATCATCATTCAACACTTTCACCTCACTCACACATAATCACTATTTTTGCAGAGGTGCTCAGAACACAACAGTTTAGAAGCATATACATATAAAGATACACAACATATCCCTCCAAACTGCTAATATCCCGAACCTCCTTTAGAGTGCGGGCATTGTACTCCCCATTTCCAGGACTCAAGTCCAGCTATATAAAAATTACCGGTTTCCCTGAATCCCTTCACTAAATATTACCCTGCTCACACTCCAACAGATCGTCAGGTCCCAAATACCATTCGTCTCCATTCACTATCGAACACGCTCATGCACGCCTGCTGGAAGTCCAAGCCCCTCACCCACAACACCTCCCTTACCCCTTCCTTCCAACCTTTTCGAGGACGACCCCTACCCCACCTTCCTTCTCCTACAGATTTAAATGTGAAAAGGATTTAGGAGTTCTGGTTAGCAGTAATCTGAAACCAAGACAACTGTGCATAAGTGTTTGCAATAAAGCTAACAGAATCCTTGGCTTCATAGCAAGAAGTATAAATAATAGAAGTCCTCAGGTTGTTCTTCAACTCTATATATCTTTGGTTAGGCCTCATTTAGGTTATGCTGTGCAGTTTTGGTTACCATATTACAGAATGGATATAAATGCACTGGAAAACATACAAAGGAGGATGACAAAGTTGATACCATGTATCAGAAATCTTCCCTATGAGGATAGACTGAGGGCCCTGAATCTGCACTCTCCAGAAAGGCGTAGAATTAGGGGGATATGACTGAGGTGTATAAATGGAAAACAGAAATTAATAAAGGGGATGTAAATAGCGTGCTAAAAAATGTCTAGCATTGACAGGACTTGCAGCAATGGTTTTAAATTGGAAAAATTCAGATTCAGGAAGGATATAGGAAAGCACTGCTTTGGTATTCGAGTTGTGGATGAGTGGAACAACTCCTTACTGTCATAGAAGCTAAAACATTGTGTAGTTTTAAAAATAAGATAGATAAATACATGAGTGGGTGTGGGTGGGTGTGAGTTGGAAGTGACTAGCTTGTGCTACTAGGTCAGATGCTATGTTCCTTCCTTAAGCAAATGTGACCTGACCTGACTAGGTCAGGATTGGCTTAAGCTGGTAGGAGACTTGGACCTGCCTCGTCATGGGCCAGTAGGCCTGCTGCAGTGTTCCTTCTTTCTTATGTTCTTATATAGACGGAGACAGAGATATAGACAGAGACAGAGATATAGACAAAGACAGAGATATAGACAGACAGAGATATAGACTGAGACAGAGATAGACAAAGATGATACAAACGGAGAGACAGCCAAAGTCAGCCAGCCAGCTGAAGCTGGCCTGCCAAATACGTATTAAACATGTTCCAGAATCGTTTCTCGTTACTTAGGGCATAGGTTATAGGACATTCTGGAAGGATGACACTACCAGCAATATCAATAATGAAAGGATGTTGCACAAATATTGTGCATGGGTTATTATCGAGGTTTTTGATATTTATTTGACCACTTGTGGCCACATCTATCTCAAAGCCACTAAACTCTGGGTCAACATCACCTTCCTCTTAAATGGGGAGTGTTAATATGACATGACATCAGTGAATCCCTGGTGTTTGTCATGCTATTTGCTCCAGCTGGCATTCAATTGAACTGGTACTCCCACAAGGTACTAAGTGGTCCCAGATTTTAATAATTCTGCACATACCAAGTGTTAAGACCCATTATATACTGACCAGGCATCTCAGGCTAATCATGCCAAATTTGGAAGCAGGAAAAATAAAACGTTGATATACGTTTGGAGTGCAAGCAGTAATAACCTACATCTGTTTGGACAGTTTAAGGGTTAAGCCGAGCCATTATCCAGTCTAAGGCCCTAAGTCTCTTCACATCTATGAAGGCTGAGAGAGGTGAGGAAGCTGCTGAAGATAAATTTAAGGCTAGCAGAAGATGGTTTCATCTTCTCCTGACATCCTACAATAAATACTACTCACCTCTCACCCTACATTAAGGCCAAAAATATTTTAAGGTAGGTAATAAGTGTACTGTACTTTTTTTTTTTTTTTTAACAAACTGGCCGCATCCCACCGAGGCAGGGTGGCACAAAAAGAAAAACAAAATTTTTTCTTTTTAAATTTAGTAATTTGTACAGAAGGGGTTACTAGCCCCTTGCTCCCGGCATTTTAGTCACCTCTTACAACAAGAATAGCTTACGGAGGAAGAATTCTGTTCCACTTCCCCATGGAGATAAGAGGAAATAAACAAAAACAAGCACTACAAAGGAAATAGAAAAAAACCCAGAGGGGTGTGTATATATATGCTTGTATACATGTATGTGTAGTGTGACCTAAGTGTAAGAAGTAGCAAGATGTACCTGAAATCTTGCATGTTTATGAGACAGAAAAGACACACCAGCAATCCTACTATCATGTAAAACAATTACAGGTTTCTATTTTACACTCACTTGGCAGGATGGCAGTTGCTGTCTACCAACCTGCTACCTACTGTACTGTATGTGTATGCATTTTATTTTTTCAAGGCCTAGTTCTATTGCTAACTTAATATATGAGTGTAAACATATTATCAGGCATTTATATGCATTTAAGTGAAAAAAAGGCAATTCGCTTTATGGCATTAGCCTGGAACCTAACTCTCCATATATGCGGGGCCCTCCTGTACAAGTATTTCTGACAAGACAGCAACTGACTGAATTATTAGCAAATGTATTAGGGCAGATGGCTAATCAAGTAAAAAAACAAAAAGTGCTTTTCTTTTTTCATTCATTTCTGGAGATAATTAATAATCCGATTTTCTAACCACTATTCTTAATGCCATTATCCATTTACAATAAGGAGCAATTTAAGACATCACCGTGCAATTATTTCTTACGAAATACATGGGCTTTACTTTTGACCTACTAATGACAAAAATCAAACTACTGGTACTCATTTTGTTATAAGCATCAATGCCAAAGTAAAAATGGTGAAAGAAAACTAAAGCTTAGGAAAAAATAAAAACTTCTAAACAGAAAACTTACCAGATCTCTATGAAGTACCCAATTTGAGTGAAGATAGCGAATTCCATCCAAAATCTGATACAGGAGTGATTTTACCATTCCTTTTGTTACTTGTACTGTTTTCTTGTTTGCTTTGGCAGCACGGTGAAATTTGATGATGTGCTGAAAATAATAATAGAATTACTCTCCTTTCCACATTAACTTCAGTTTCTTAGTTTCAAATAAATTTTTAACACTCCTATACATTAATATTATGAGCATTATTTGCCCTTCTCTCGGTTAATCTCTCTTACAATCCAAAAAATTTATTTATTGGTTATTAGTTGTCAAGTCTAAATGAGCTTTTAAATTAGCAGATAAGTGAAATTTATGATAAGCAAGGTAGGGTAATGGTCAACTGTTGTCCACGATTATGCCTGCTTCTCACAGGGCTATCATATGTGATCTATGAAACAGGTAGTGGTCCCACTAATTCTTGTAACATAAGATTCATTTGTTGGCCTAAGGGTGATGTTGAAAAAACTTCAGTAATATCTGTTAAATCTGTTAAGGATTAGGCCATGCTTACAGAGAACTTTGAACATACAACTTACTCAGTGCTCACAGTGATAAAAAAAAATATATATACAGCACACACAATAAAAACAAAGATAAAATTAACAAACCAAAGTTACAAACATAGTTGATGATTAGGTCTCAGGCTGTTACTAATGACTGTTATACAGTATTAGTGTACAGAATCCAGTATACTGTTCCAATAGTAACTGTAGTGAAGCTTGGGTTGTAAATGCTGCAGCAAGGAGACAGTTGGAAGCAGTGGAGATGTCCTGTCTAAGGGCAATGTGTGGTGTAAATATTATGCAGAAAATTCGGAATGTGGAAATTAGGAGGTGTGGAGTTAATAAAAGTAATGATCAGAGGGCTGAAGAGGGGTTGTTGAGGTGGTTTGGTCATTTAGAGAGAATGGATCAAAGTAGAATGACATGGAGAGCGTATAAATATATAGGGTAAGGAAGGCAGGGTAGGGGTCGTCCTCAAAAGAATTGGAGGGAGGGGGTAAAGGAGGTTTTGTGGGAGAGGGGCTTGGACTTCCAGCAAGCGTGTGTGAGCATGTTAGATAGGAGTGAATGGAGACGAATGGTATTTGGGACCTGATGAGCTGTTGGAGTGTGAGCAGGGTAATATTTAGTGAAGGGATTCAGGGAAACTGGTTATTTTATATAGCCGGACTTGAGTCCTGGAAATGGGAAGTACTACGTACAATTGGCAGTTTGGAGGGATATGTTGTGTATTCTTTATACGTATATACTTCTAAACTAAAGTAGAAGTGATGCAAGGAGGGAATAGTATATGGAGAAAAAGAGAGAGGTTAAGAGAGTGGTGAAGCAATGTAAAAAGAGAGCAAATGAGAGAGTGGGTGAGATGTTATCAACAAATTTTTGTTGAAAATAAGAAAAAGGTTTGGAGTGAGATTAACAAGTTAAGGAAGCCTAGAGAACAAATGGATTTGTCAGTTAAAAAAAGAACAGGAGAGTTATTAAATGGAGAGTTAGAGGTATTGGGAAGATGGAGGGAATATTTTGAGGAATTGTTAAATGTTGATGAAGATAGGGAAGCTGTGATTTCGTGTATAGGGCAAGGAGGAATAACATCTTGTAGGAGTGAGGAAGAGCCAGTTGTGAGTGTGGGGGAAGTTCGTGAGGCAGTAGGTAAAATGAAAGGGGGTAAGGCAGCCGGGATTGATGGGATAAAGATAGAAATGTTAAAAGCAGGTGGGGATATAGTTTTGGAGTGGTTGGTGCAATTATTTAATAAATGTATGGAAGAGGGTAAGGTACCTAGGGATTGGCAGAGAGCATGCATAGTTCCTTTGTATAAAGGCAAAGGGGACAAAAGAGAGTGCAAAAATTATAGGGGGATAAGTCTGTTGAGTATACCTGGTAAAGTGTATGGTAGAGTTATTATTGAAAGAATTAAGAGTAAGACGGAGAATAGGATAGCAGATGAACAAAGAGGCTTTAGGAAAGGTAGGGGGTGTGCGGACCAGGTGTTTACAGTGAAACATACAAGTGAACAGTATTTAGATAAGGCTAAAGAGGTCTTTGTGGCATTTATGGATTTGGAAAAGGCGTATGACAGGGTGGATAGGGGGGGGGGGCAATGTGGCAGAGTTGCAGGTGTATGGTGTAGGAGGTAGGTTACTAAAAGCAGTAAAAGAGTTTTTACGAGGATAGTGAGGCTCAAGTTAGAGTATGTAGGAAAGAGGGAAATTATTTCCCAGAAAAATTAGGCCTTAGACAAGGATTGTGATGTCACCTGGTTGTTTAATATATTTATAGATGGGGTTGTAAGAGAAGTAAATGCGGGGGTTTCTTGGCAAAGGCGTGGAGTTAAAAGATAAAGAATCACACATAAAGTGGGAGTTGTCACAGTTGCTCTTTGCTATGACACTGTGCTCTTGGGAGATTCTGAAGAGAAGTTGCAGAGATTGGTGGATGAATTTGGGTAGGGTGTGCAAAAGAAGAAAATTAAAGTGAATACAGGAAAGAGTAAGGTTATGAGGATAACAAAAAGAATTAGGTGATGAAAGATTGGATATCAGATTGGAGGGAGAGAGTATGGAAAAGGTGAATGTATTCAGATATTTGGGAGTGGACGTGTCAGCGATGGGTCTATGAAAGATGAGGTGAATCATAAAATTTTGATGAGGGGAAAAAGGGTGAGTGGTGCACTTAGGAGTCTGTGGAGACAAAGAACTTTGTCCTTGGAGGCAAAGAGGGAATGTAAGAGAGTATAGTTTTACCAACGCTTTATATGGTTGTGAAGTATGGGTGATGAATGTTGCAGGAGGAGAAGGCTGGAGGCAGTGGAGATGTCATGTCTGAGGGAAATGTGTGGTGTGATATAATGCAGAGAATTCGTAGTTTGGAAGTTAGGAGGGGGTTTGCGGGATTACCAAAAACTGTTGTCCAGAGGGCTGAGGAAGGGTTGTTGAGGTGGTTCGCCATGTAGAGAGAATGGAGCGAAACAGAGTGACTTCAAGAGTGTATCAGCTGTAGAGGAAGGAAGGCGGGGTAGGGGTCGCCTAGGAAAGGTTGGAGGGGGGGGGTAAAGGAGGTTTTTGTGCGAGGGGCTTGGACTTCCAGCAGGCATGCGGAGCGTGTTTGATATGAGTGAATGGAGGACAAATGGTTTTTAATACTTGACGTACTGTTGGAGTGTGAGCAAAGTAACATTTATGAAGGGGTTCAGGGAAACCGGCAGGCCGGACTTGAGTCCTGGAGATGGGAAGTACAGTGCCTGCACTCTGAAGGAGGGGTGTTAATGCTGCAGTTTAAAAACTGTAGTGTAAAGCACCTTCTGGCAAGACAGTGATGGAGTGAATGATGGTGAAAGTTTTTCTTTTTCGGGCCACCCTGCCTTGGTGGGAATCGGCCAGTGTGATAATAAAAAAAATAACTTCTAAACTGTTGTATTCTGAGCACCTCTGCAAAAACAGTGATTGTGTGTGAGTGAGGTGAAAGTGTTTGATGATGAAAGTATTTTCTTTTTGGGGATTTTCTTTCTTTTTGGGTCACCCTGCCTCGGTGGGAGACAGCCGACTTGTTAAAAAAAAAAAAAAGTGTTTGCCAAGTACATCTCTAGTATGTGGTGTGTTTTTTTTTTCTTTTTTTGCTACAAAGGATATTTTTGGCAAGGTTTGCAGTACTGTATACTAAAAGGGTTAATTTAAATGATCCTCTGAACAACAACATCCTATCCCTTTCTTTCCATGTGTAGGCATTCTACATCCCCCTCCAGAAATAATGGGATATGGTCTGGTGGCAATACTGTGACTGCATTGTGTTTCATTTGCTAAAATCAAGTTAAATTCTGAGAAATATCAGCCAGAGCAAATTTTTAATACTGGCATGAGCTCAGCCTGCAAGTTGCTCTTTCTGAATATTCCTGACGAGGAAAGTGTTATTCTATTTGACTAGTCCTTCAGATTTAAAAATGGAATAAGAATTCCTGTGTAGTGTTGAGCTTATAAGCTTGGGTGATGCCATTAAATACTGTAGTTCTATTATGACTACCTTCCAAAGAGGATTATTCATCTACCAAAAGAAAACAAAAAGTCCTTCTGCAAGCCAATAAAGCTCTAAGCTATCTTAAACTACATTTAAAATTTCATGTGGGAGTAAGGGTAAAAACCTGAATTTTCATGTTGCTGTATAATTGCTATAGGTCACTCCCAGTTATCCAGAAACAATACAATATGCATGTAACAGAAGTGATGTTGTGAAGAAACTCAATTATTCTTTTAAATCAACTCTGCTCTCTAAATTATAATTTAAGGGAAAACTTATCAAAATCAGAATGAATGGCAAAATATTAAATATAGAAAACATTGGAGATGTTGTAATTTTATACATCTTCCAATCCTAATTAATGAGCATGAAAGACATCAAGTGAGATACACACAAAAAATATAGCCTGTCAAAATGAACAAAACACTAGTACAGTACACATGAAATGTTTGTATATGTAAATACAAGAGGGTCTCGCTTTACAGCGCTTTGCTTTCCAGTGTTTCGCTAATGCAGTGGTTTTCAATTATAACCATTCTTCATTTATTCAGGCTACCTACAATAAATATATTCACCACTCACTATAAGCTAAGTATGAAAATATTTTAAGGTAGCTAATGCATGTACTGTATGTGCATTTTTATAGCCTAGTTCTATTGCTCATTTTTTTTTATTAGCACATCAGCCTATTCCCACCAAGGTAGGGTGGCCCGAAAAAGAAAAACTTTCATTATTATTCACTCCATCACTGTCTTGCCAGAGGGGTGCTTTACACTACAGTTATAAAACTGCAACATTAACACCCCTCCTTCAGAGTGTAGACACTGTACTTCCCATCTCCAGGACTCAGGTCCGGCCTGCCGGACTTAAATCCTAGAGATGGGAATCAGGCTTTTTTATGCATATACAGGTCTCCCTCAACATTCGCGAGGGTTAGGGGATCAAGAGCCTCGCGAATGTTGAAAAACCGTGAATGTTTGGTGCCCCAATATATTGTAGGGAAATATATTACAATACTGCTTCCTTAACTTGTTGAACCATGAATAATCATAAAATACATGAAAACGTCATAAATTGTACTAAATATATACA